GTGAAGATGAGCAGATGTTGAAGATGAGAAGGTGTGAAGAGGAGCAGATGTGAAGATGAGCAGATGTGAAGATGAGCAGATGTGAAGATGAGCAGATGTGAAGATGAGAAGGTGTGAGAGAAGGTGTGAAGATGAGAAGGTGTGAAGATGAGAAGATGAGATACAGACCCCCACTATTGGAAGAACCCTGCGCTCAGACGCTCTCGGGAAAAATCAGCGCATACGGAAGTTCAGGTCCACAAGCACCGCTTGCGTAGCTCTTCGGCTGATCAGGATGTGCTGAGGCCCGGGCAACCATGGGCAAACGCAAACGTTGCCCTTGGCTTGACAATTTCAAGAGGAAGTGGAAGCTCTAGAATGGAGACAGACCACACGAAACCGAACAAGCACCCTGAAAGCCACCACACAGCTGCTAGATATGCGTCGTGTTTTTTTGCCGTCTCACGTCTACATACTCATCGGCTACCATACCGAATGCAAGAAAAAAACATAGTACATTATTGCTTTGCCATGATGGTACCATTCCCCATGCTGCTGCAAGCCATCAGCTCCTCGATGAAAAACAACTGCCTGAGTTATGTTCCAGGCCCCACCAGACGTGCTCAACGCCAACAGAAGCAATGCAGTAGAAAGGAGAAGTTGAGCAGATACTGTGAGCTTGTCAATGGCCCGAAGACTGCGCCAGTCTGAAAGAGCCTCCTGTATCACAGTAACGAGCACAGAAGCTGCCAAAGCGCCACCGATGACCAGAGTCGCAGCAGCTGCCAGCAGAGTAGCAAGTTTGAGGAACACCACGGGGGCCAAAGACCAAGCTTGGCTGACAGCCAGTTCTGTCACTCGCAGGAAGAGGTTCCCAAAGAAGTCGAACGGAACAGTTAGCCGCCCATACGACAACAAACAAAACCAATAAAGACTTCTGACGAAAATGCACAGCCGCTTCCGGTTTCGACATTCAAGCTGCTGATGTGGTGCAGGTGCAGGTAGAACATGGAATCTCCATGCAATCCTTTGGTCAGCAAAGGCTGCGACGCAGCTATGCCCTTAACTGCCCCGTATGGCACGTTGAATATTTTGCAATAGTAGTTCACAAGGGATAGGACCAAGTTGTTCATCTTCACATGACTAAAGTATAGCAGCAAAAGCGCCGCACCCAAGGCCGTCAAAGTTGGGAAAGGCTGCAGTTGGTAATACCAAGCACCATTACCTTCAGGCACTCTGGAGACAAAAACACCGGTCGCAGCAGCGGCCCAGCGAATGGCTACCAAGGATTCCTGCAAGTGAAAAGCCCACGAAAGCCAGTCGATCGGTAGTGTAAAGTCTTCTGCTACATCTGCCAGCAAAGCCCAGTCATGGGCAAGTTTCATCAGAGTCCACATGACGAGGACAAAAAGGTAGACAGTAGTGGCACAGCCCTTGTCCCGATTATCCTCAATCTGCTTCCGGACGTTGTCTGTTTCGCATACAAGCTCGTTGACGTGCGCCGGGTTGGGAAACTCTTTGGTATCAGATGCTGACCAAATCGAATCGAGGATAGGCGGATAGGTTTGCATGAGCCCCCACCAAGTGCCTTGGGGATGTAGAGCCGAGAAGTTGCCACCATTCTCAACAGATATAAGGGCTGGAGACCTCGACAGAAAACTTGAGTTTTTGAGTTGTAATTTTGCTGCAGTGGTTGCGGGCAATTTTTCAGTCCAAACATGATGAATGTAATAGCATGGCTTGCTGCAGGCGTGCTTGTAGGTCACCACAGCAAGGAGAGGAGCCCATCCGAGGCAAGTAAGAACCAAATATTCGATGTACCGCGACAAGCCCATCGCGCAAGCGGTGCGGTACAGACTATGGATCTATGGAATGAGAATGAGGAATGCGATGCTCGAAGCAGAGAAACTGTGAGCTATAATTGAGCAGCATTGGCGATGGTGATGAACAGGTGCGTGGTGAACATGATCGTCTTCTATGTCATGAAAAATGTCTGAAGCACTCAACACGGGTCAATGGGCAGCTTGACCCCGAAAATTAGATCAGCAACCAACAGCAAGTGTCACAAATGGATGCTAAGCCTTTCATCTCAGGCCTTTGACATCAGTTTGAAACGCCAAATCATTTAAATCCAAGGAGATTTCAACATGGTCAATCTGTCAATCCAACATGTTCAAGTCATCAGCTCCCCAAAGATACACTCCTAAGGTCCTCAATTCAAACAAGTGGCAGATGGCATCAAAGCTCTCATCTCGACAAGCGTTGGCTCACTGAAAAGCACGAGGATGTTCTGGAAATTGCTGGAATCTTTGGGTAGCCGTGGGCTCTAATGACCTGTTCATGTGGTAATTCTGGCTGTGCTCATATGGTGGGGTCTACGTACCTGGTTGTGGATTTGAAAGTATATGTCAAACAATGGTCCATTCATCACATGTAGGAATTTGACCATGTTTTTTTCATTTTATTGGGACGCTGACTGTTTCCTGGTGCCAAAATTCAAGAATTGCAGGGATGCAGGAGTGCATGTTTGTGAAAGAATCTTCGGGTACTCTCCAATTCCAGGAATTTCTTTGATTTCACTCACATCATCACATGCTGAAGGGAACTACCTACTTCAGATGCTAGATTCCACCAAAGGACTAGGCCACCCACAGGCCCGTTCGAAACACCTTCGTCCTTGTGTCAATGCCACAAATGCGCCAGTCTGTCGCCGCAAGAATGCGCACTGTTTCCCAATATTTTTCTTGAAATCCCTATAAGGTACTGTCGTGACCCCCATCTCCATCAAGCAAAACTTCACAAATGGCATGCACGGATCTGGCTCAAACCTACTCTTCAAAGATGCAATGACATTCCAGATGGATTTGCCCCACCCATTTTGTCACTTTTTTGTCAGCGCGAAGTCGATCTTGTCCGTTGGCAAATCCCGGGAATGGCAAAGATCACAGTCACTCTTCAGATCCTAAAGATTCTAAATTGTTTCGAATGGGATCCAGATAAAGTGAATGATTTTGACTTTTCCAAGATTAGTTATGCGAAACGATTTGCAGTAAGACTGGGTGCTGGAGATTGTTGTATTGACAGATCCCTTGCAGCTTCTGGTTTCTATCAATCAACTAGACGACGGATGGCCCGAGAGCGTGGAGGAGCAGGGTCTTCTGTTGTTAGTATTGAGACACTATATTACAAGACAATATAATAAAGATGTATTATAGGCAGACAAGAAGAGTAGTATCAAGACAATATATTGCAAGTACAAGACAATAGTTTGCATCGTATCCTTCGTATAGCTTTCACACACAGAACCTTTTACACACAGACGCTTTTGCACACAGAAGCTTTTACACACAGAGACTTTTACACACAGACACACAGACGCTTTTACACACAGACGTTTTTACACACAGAAGCTTTTACACACAGAAGTTTTTACACACAGACACTTTTACACACAGAAGCTTTTAAGCACAGACGTTTTTACACACAGAGGTTTTTACACACAGACGCTTTTACACACAGAAGCTTTTACACGCAGACCCTTTTACACACAGAAACTTTTACACACAAACACTTTCACACACAGAGACTTTTACACACAAACACTTTCACACACAGAGGCTTTTACACACAGACACTTTTACACACTTACACACAAACGCTTTTACACGGAGAAGCTTTTACACACAGAAGCTTTTACACACAGACACGTTTACACTCAGAAGAGCGAAGAGCTTAGAAGAGCATGCTACTCTCTTGTAAGTAGTATGAAAGACATTGTAGGTGAAAGCTTCATTGAAGATGATGCAGATGATCAGCAGAAAGGAGATAGAAATGCTATGTCAGATTTTAAGCAGAAGTAGACAAAGATAGACACAAAATTTGAGAGACTGACAGAGACAGACAGCAAAGAAACACATACACACACAGACACACAAACAAAGACGGACACCACACGCACACACTTGCTCAGAACAATCTTTGCGAATTCTGATGTTGAATGCATCCTACGTGCAAAAACAATTCAGTTATACCTGACAGGAAAAGGTTGAAGATCAGATCCGAGAAGGATCGAGAAGAATGTATTTCACAGCCACTGCTAGATGCAACATTTCCACCTGAACCAAGTCATTACCTCCCTGACATCAAGTTTGGTTTGAAAATTGCTTGAAAAACAACATGCCGGTTCTTGGCTTGGCCGGTTGCCATCGACGATAAATTGGAAAATTGCAGGTACACGGAGGTGATCAATCTCCGCTTCCCCCATTGTGGGATAGCTTCGTTGGCACAGGTATCCACAATGGGCCTGTGCCCCCTGCCTTTGAGAATTGGAAAAAGCAAATTTAGAAGTTTTACATCTCTTCAGATGGTTCACACACACGCCCTGCTGCCGCAGGGCTTTTTTGGAAGACGCACCAATCTCGTGAAACAAAGCTCTGATATGGTCTACTGGTCACGGATAAAGTATCAAAATGCCAGAGACAAAATGAATTACCGAGAGTTGAGTACATCAAAGAATCAGAAGCCAAGGGCGAGAATGGCCAGGATCTAGTCCGAAATGTCGGAGATGTCCTCGAGGTTGCCCGCTTGAACATATTGGGCCAGAGTGTTCGCCGTGATAGCGAGATGGCTTGAAAGGTGGGATAAGTCTTATGCTGACCATACCTGAATGGGATTGGCATTTGGATCCGCTGGGGCAGTTTCAATCTTCTCGATCAGCACGTTGTAAAGGACAGTAGCCAGTTGGTTGATCTGGCTTGGAACGGCCAGGTGGCCTGTTTCGACTGTCACCGAGGTGTCGTCTGCCAGGTCTGAGATTTCTGCATCCTCACCACCTAAGGTAGCATTGTCAGGCGATCCAAGGGATTGATGGTCTTGAGGATGCCAGGCAGACTGATCCTCTTGAGAATACCACTGGTCAATATTGTAAAACCGGCGCCAGTAATTTGATAAGCGGCTGGCTTCGGCCCAACTGTCTACATAGCCGCCTCCCCGTGGTCGTAATGACATGACCAATCATTCCATTGAAGAAAAAGTCTTATTTAAACTCAGTTCCACCTATATGATATACCGTTGTAAATGGTATATGTAATTAACGCCGCGTGGTTAATCGCTCGGGGATACGCGTAAACTGAACCAGGCAAAAACACAAACACAAGAAAACACCGTGACAACTTCAACTGCATGCACATGAGATATAACGAACTGTCCGCAAAAATGAAACAAAGTTGGAAATGTGGCTCGATGGTGAAATGTCGCTCTCCGATTGTTTTCCGACCGCGGGGGTGAAATCACGAGGTTGAGTTTTCGACGCTACGCACAGGAGGTTGACAACGGCTAGGGATAGGCCGTATGCGGTTGGTCAAAAGTGCGGGTCGAAAGTGAAACGCCAAAAGGGTGGGAGACGAAGTAGGGAGGGCTAAGCTGCTGTTGTATGCAATTTCATATTTAAAGCCCGCCTCTACCCAACCCTTTGCTAGGAAAATGGCATCAGTGAGACATAAACTCTGAAATGTGTTCCATGTAAAACAAATGCAAAAGTGAAACATGTTTGTGAGTTTTCCAGGTGCTGGTGGCATTGAAACTGTTTACCACACTTGGAAAAAGGTTTGCATTTGTTTACAAGTTGTTGGTGTTTGTTTGAACGCCGTATTCAGTTTAGAAGTTCAATCCTCGATTACGGAAATGGGTTTCCGATTTGTTTTCGGTGGAACTACGCTTCATGTTATTGCGCTGAGTTATAAAGACAAGGCTGTCATTTCATGAACGCCTTCGTCTTATTTAAACTCAGTTCCACCTATATGATATACCGTTGTAAATGGTATATGTAATTAACGCCGCGTGGTTAATCGCTCGGGGATACGCGTAAACTGAACCAGGCAAAAACACAAACACAAGAAAACACCGTGACAACTTCAACTGCATGCACATGAGATATAACGAACTGTCCGCAAAAATGAAACAAAGTTGGAAATGTGGCTCGATGGTGAAATGTCGCTCTCCGATTGTTTTCCGACCGCGGGGGTGAAATCACGAGGTTGAGTTTTCGACGCTACGCACAGGAGGTTGACCCCCGTTGGTTAGTGCGTATAGCAAGCTCAAGGGTTTCTCATGGAGGTCCATGATTGCTTGGACCAAGTGATCTGGAGTCACCCATGCCGTGCACTCGGTTGCACAAAGGAGCGAGGCAGTCTCGGAGACCAACTTTCGTGAAGGACCATCTGAGGGATTTGAGTATGAAGAAACTCTTTCATACCAAACTGAGCTCGGGGTTTCAAGTTCGATTTGCTGGTTCACACGGCACAATGCCCTCAAGCTGAAGGAGTCGGACGTCCCTTTCAGGATGGCATAACGTGCCGGGTCATTGTCAATCCACGCAATCCCAACTTTGTTGTGCAAGCAGCTGTGAAGTTTGTACCTTACGGTGGCATATGCAAACATCTCAATTTGGCATATTATCTGCTCTCCCACATCCTGTAGCCATAGTTGCACAAGCTTGGGAGGCACTATCACTTCAAAGACTGTAGTTTCGTCCTTGCATGGGTCGTAGACCACCGCACCCGCTGAAGCCTGCCCAGACTCCCATGCGCCATCTGTAAATATAAGGTAAGGGTCAGTGAAAGACTCTGCATCATATTTCCTTGGAGGCATGGCGCGAAGCATGGATTTGGCCAGGCGGCAAAGAAGCAACAGGTCATCCTTGCCCATCGACTTTGGCATGTCTGCCAACCTGCTAAACGAGGCTACCAAAAACTTCAAGGCTTTAGAGGTGAAAAATCCCCCAGCAAAGTTGATGTGCCCCTGCACCTCCGCAGCACGAGACTTAGAGATAGTTCCCAACTGCTCAACCTGATCCAGCATTCTGCAAATTCGGTCAACGCGACCCTGCTTATTGGCCAGTACGAAACTTCCTCGATGCAGCTGTTGTAGTTGCACTGAAATTCCCAGTGCGTTGAAGTCCGCTGCAAAGTCCAGCGCTTTCGAGCCCAGCTGAGCATGATCCCATCCCAAAAGGTTC